TAAGTAAATCGCGTAATTTTACCTTCAATTGAACATATTACATAATTCTATTTAAATTAGTGAGTTATCACTAATGATACTCAATAATATTATTCGAAACAAAAGCAAACAAAAATGTGTTAGGTGCCTTGATTTGCAGTTCCATAATGCTTGAGGTTATATTTTGCGGCTATCTCTAACGAACCTTTTCCCATCAGGTGTTGTTTCTTTTGTATGCCGAACAATATTCAAGATTATTTAGGTTTACAATACTTTGAAATTAAGTGTATGCACTCACTGTATGTTTAAACAAGAATTTAAGATCGGAAATTGGTAATTTTGTATGAATGCGATACAGATCTTTGGAGCTTTTGCACGCCTGAAAGTACCCTTCTTCGGATTTCGTTTTATAACATAAGATAAGAACTACGCCAATCTACAGCCGAGAAGATAAATGAACAATACAAAAAATGTTCTTTCAGCAAACCCATTTCCTGCAATCAACCAATTTTCTCAACAAACATGCCAGAAACAGATAAAAGAACAAAGAGTTTTCTTCGTTTCTTTAGTAAATTCCACTCTATACATTTCAATTACAGGTTAATATAATTTACCATCCACTTGCCATCTACATAAATCTACAACTCAAGAACACTTCAAAATATTATCGACCTTTCTGGACTTGAAAACATAGTTTTGAAACCTGGATCGGACCAGCCGGTTTGATCTGGAAACCGTCGAATCGGACCCAGGTCCAGTCCGATTGTAATGAATTTATGGCTGAACAAACGTCTCGCCTACCACCCGTTTGAACCGCCGATTTTTAATAAAACCTAGGTTCACTTTTTTTTACTCGATCGGGTCTTAATTAACCAATGTTTCCTCACAAATTCTGAAATATTAGAGATTCTTGCAAAATCAAAAAGCTCAGCCGCCGTCTCCAATCTCTTGCAATTCAACCACTCCCAAAAATCCAAATCTCCAATTCAAATTTTAGCAGATGGAAGAACAGGTCAGTCTCTGCCAGATGTATTTTGCTAAAAAAACTCGACCAACTTGATTTTATACTTGGGCTAATTTTTCTAAATCATACATATATGTTTTCTTCTTATGTTAACTCCTATCATTGTTCAAATTGATTATAATAAGAAAATTATTGCTGCGTTTAGTTGATTGATTGTGGTGATGAGAAATAGCAGCAAATATTGGAAAAAGAATCAAGAATGTAATTGGATTCACCGACTTAAGGCATACAATTGTTTTTTGCGTTATCCAGTACGATGAGGCTGAAAGAAAACAACTTAAAAGCCCTCGGAAGTGCAGTGGGGTGAGGTAGAGAATAGTTATGACTCCTTTGATGTGCAGTGGGGTGAGTTAGAAAACGAGTTTGAGCCCTCTAATTTCCAGTCATGTGAGGCAGAAAACAACTTTGAGCCCTCGGATGTGCAGTGGGGCTAGGAAGAAAACAACTTTAAGCCCTTGAACGTGCAATGGTGTGAGGCAAAATGCAATTTTAAGCACTCTGATGTGTCGTAGGATAACGCAAAAAACAATTTTATTCCCAGTGGCCAAAAATCTTGTTTTAAATTCTTTGAGTAGAATGAGATAGGCTTTTGTGGGATTAATTCCAAAATGGTTCCAGTTTG